ATGTCCAATGGATGTTGCAGTCCACCAAAGGTCGAAGGCCGGGGATGGATGATGTTGATGGACCGTCTCGTCTGCAACTTCTTAACAATCCATACTACCGAGACACTCTTGGTGAATACGGGGCCTTATTTGCTATTGCTAACCGGATTGACCGTCTACACAGGAATGCCTGGATAGGGCTTCAATCATGGAGAGCAACAGCTCGGAAGGTAATAGAAAATGTCCAACCCCTCCTCTTTTCTTATTTTGTCTCTCTGTATGCATTTTTTTCGCTTCTGGGTTAATTGGTGAGAATTATGCCATTTTGGCTTAGCAACACCTTGAAGGAAATATCTTGTTCTTTTCTCTGTCTTCTTTACTCATACTTAATTGTGGGGCAAAAACAGGCATCCTTGTCTGATGTTGCTCAATCTTCATTATTAGACACCATCGAAAAGCGAAAGTATGGTGACGCATTATACTTTTGGGTCCGGATGGACACGGATCCAAGAAACAGCTTGCAGAGGGACTTCTGGTCATTTTGTGATGCTATAAATGCTGGAAATTGCAAGTAAGATCTGTAAAGTTAACCAATTATTTCAACGGAAAAAGCACGAAATTGTACAATAAAATTGCCTTAACTCTTTATTATTCCGTTTATTATTTCATTGCAGGTTTGTATTCTCTGAGACTCTTAAAAGGATGTATGGCTTAGAGCATGATTTGAACTCTTTGCCTCCCATGCCTGAAGGAGGCACATGGTCTGTCATGCAGAGTTGGGCTTTGCCAACAAAGTCCTTCTTAGAGTTGTTATGTTTTCAAGGTAAGAACTGTTATACTTAATGGCTTCTCTGCAAGAACAGTCGAAACTGTGTTTGATTCGTAAACATTTTAATGTCTGGTTCGCATTTTGCAGGATGTTTGTGGATTCATTAGATGCTCAAATGTACGATGAGCACCATCTAAGTGGTCACTGTTATCTCAGTTTCTCAAAGGTAATACCATAAAGTGCATTATTATTATGAAAGTTTAATCTCAAATGACCGGGGAATAACTTGTTCACCGAACTTTCTGAAATCGGTCTCAGCCTATAAATAGTCAAATGCTGTTTTCAGTGTAGTGATTGTGTTCTACAGGACAAGCATTGCTACTCACGGGTGCTTGAGCTGCTTATAATGTTTGGGCATATCACAGTGCACGTCGGATTGTGTATGTGAATCCCGAAACTGGTGTGATGCAAGAATACCACAAGTTCAAGGGTCGTAAGGGTAAAATGTGGATCAAATGGTTTTCATTCAACACCTTAAAGGCCATGGACGAGGATTTAGCCGAGGAAGCAGATTCTGACCGCCCAAAAAGACGATGGTTATGGCCGTCAACAGGCGAGGTGGTCTGGCAAGGTGTTCTCGATAGAGAGAGAAATCGCCGGAACAGGCAGAAAGAGACAAGGAAGCAAAAAAGTAAGGATAAACTAGAGAGGATGAGGCATAAACACCATCAAAAAGCATTAGGGAAGTATGTGAAACCTCTTGCAGAAGATATTGAAAACTCAAATTCAACACTAGCAACAGCAAACTAGTTCCATCTCTGTTTTGCATACTTGGCAGTAGATTCTAATTTGATAGTTCTTTAATTTTTTATTTAGTTCTACCCTTTTCTTTTGCTTTATAGGCCTTGTGTCAGGAAGAAATGCATTATTTATTTACATGTGAGTATTACTATATGTAGCTAAAGGCATCCTTCTGGTCATGGATATTCGTGAATGGCTCAAACTGTTAATATAAAACATTAAACTTTTTATTATACAATAAAGTCATGACATGCATGGTTACACGATTTGACATACAAATAGAAATTAAACATTGCTTTTGATGGAAGAACTGTATCCAGTTTGGTCATCGTAGTGCTTCGACCACAGCATCACACCTCCATACTTGGCTGAAACGTTGATAGCAGGGAGCAGTTTCAAGGTAAGATCGGCTACTGGAATGAACGGCTGCTGGAAGTCCCAAGAAAAATTTAGTTGAAGGAATGTCTATAGTCCATTGCTTCCATGCGTCTTCTAGACTCCCAATGCTTCTAGATGCGTATTGGTATGGTGGATTGTTATAGAATTGACCCAAACATAGTCAAATAGACCAGTTTTCATTGCACCCCCAACCCAAGCATTGGGGAAAGGACATTGAGGAGCAGCGGTTAAATACGCTTTCGTACCACGTTTGCCGTATCCTGAAAGGTACTTTGCAAGGTATCAAAGTCGACCCCGTCCAAGACAGCTTCCCCTAGCAGTAGAGAAGACCGTTCCCCCTAAGAAGTTCCAAAGATAAATAGGCACCTGCCTAGCATCTTCAGCATAGTTAACAAAATCATAGTTACCTGTGGCACAAGTCTCCGATAAGGTACCTTAATCTCCATTTTGACCCCAGTAAATAGCAATTCCACCAGCATCAACATTAACAACTAGTAAAAGAATTATTGAGCAGAAAAGAGCCAGTGGCCTTGCTGGAGTTAATGCCATCTTTGATCCTACTCTGGTTACTAAAAAGCTCTTATGTATTGGAGAAAAGCAGCCTTCGTCGACAACGGATTTGTTCGGATTTATTAATAGATGATTAATCACTAATCCTCACTGTATCAACAGCATAGAGCAGTGGAATAGCGTAGACGATTAGTTTCAAAGTGAGTTCCTACACGTCCATCTTCCACCATTGTCCCCTGTTTTGGTGACTTACTATTGGCTCCTTTCCTTAGTTATTCCTTGGTTATTCCTAGAGGTGTCTGGTTGAGTACCAATGAACTGTAGTATGAATGATCGAGTATCATTATCACATGATTAGGAGTATTTAGAATATATATTATTTAATAATTACTATAGCTTAATCAAATAATAATAATAATTTAAGTGTAGAAAAGAATATTATTTTTTTGAAGTCTGAATTTGAGATATGTTTCTAAATTATGTGATGTTAGTAAACTTCAAAAATTTTAAATAAATATTATTTCATAATCATTTTAATTATTAAAATATTTTAAAATATTAAATTAATAATAACTATATCTAAATATATTTAAATTTATAACTTTTGAGATGCTAATTGATGATTGATTCAAAAATCAAGCAACTCAACTTCTATTTTTACTATATCCCAACATAAAATCAATGATGGGCTGAGAGAACAGGTGGAGATGATCGTCTTGTGAAAATTTTAAATTCTCATATAATTGAATTATTTTCTTTGTATATTTTATGATAACATGTTTTTGAAATATCTAAATTTTATAAGTTTCTCATACATAAAGTCATGTGTATGTCCTTGCACGGAACCAAATAAGACGAGGGAGGGATGTATCCATAACTATTTAATTTATTTTTAAGTCTTTAATAATTTAAATAATATTAAATTTAATTAGTCAATTAATTTTTTCTATTAAATAGTTATTAGATATTATTATTTCTAAATTAAATAAGTAAATTATAATCATCTTTATAAAATTTTTGTATTAATTGGACCAGCTTAAGAGGGTTAAGAAGTGGTTGTGCATACAATTACGCGATGAGGGGACCTTAGATTTTTTTTTTTTGTTCCCCCACCTTATTTTAAGATTTTACTTTGATTAATTTGGATCAACTCAAATCGCATATATGATATTGATGGGTGAAACTTCTAGTAAAGATTCAAATCCGAAACTTTATTTAAATAATATTAAATTATTTATCATTTAAATCAACCCATTAACGGACTGTAGACTTTGGTGTTACGTAAGATACTAACTATTACTCACTTTATGTGCCGGATCCATTTCTAGTTCGACCAGTTAGGTCCCCTTGTTCGCCTCTTTTCTTCAACATTTAATGTTCCGAATTTCGGTTGCTGTAATGTTTTCATCTTCTACTCCCCATGCTGCTACGAGTTTAACTTCTTCTTTACATATTATGTCAGTACCGGAATTTTTTAAATCCATGACTTATATTTCTTAAATAATATAATATTTTAATCCTACTTGGAATTTAAAATCGAACAACACCACCTCTCTATGTTTGTTTCTCTTGGTCTCTATTTGGGTGCTGAAACTCCCACTTGTCACAGGCGTTGTTTAGATTTTGTGTGTTCACTTTCTTTGTTTTTCTCTTGTTTGTTCCAACTTCTTCTTTACATATTATGTCAGTTACCGGAATTTTTAAATCCATGACTTATATTTCTTAAATAATATATTTTATCCTACTTGGAATTTAAAAATCGAACAACACCACCTCTATTGTTGTTTCTCTTGGTCTCTATTTGGGTGCTGAAACTCCCACTTGTCACAGGCGTTGTTTAGATTTTGTGTGTTCACTTTCTTTGTTTCTCTTGTTTGTTCCATGCGCTCCATTTTAGTCACACAGGACATCATTTTTCTTTAATGAAAAACATCAAGCATCAGCATCAAACACGTCTTAAACCCTTTTTCTTGTGCCGCCTGTGCCCTTTTTTCCCTTCCATCGCCTGCTCTACAGCTGCATCTGCTAAGAACTTGCAGTTTATATGACCATGGTCTAGAGTCAGTATGTAGGGACGGACGTATAATTTTATGTTAAGAGATGGATTTATAAAATTTTAGGGCGTGGAAATAGATTACCAATAGAAAATATAAAAAAAATATTTAAAATATATGAAGATTTTCAGATTAAGGTTACTCTACCCGCCCTCCTTTGGTCCATCTACGTATGATAGTAACTAATAGTCTAATAGATCAAGTTGGGTATTTTCTCATCACTGGCATGATATTCAAAGTAACTTACGGGGAACCATTTAATGAATGATTAGCTATATATAAATGTAAGAAAGCGATCATCAAGAACATAGAAGCTACAGTGGATTTGGTTTCCAGATTATTGGCCCGTATGTCTCCTGCTTGACTTGGACAGAACAGACAAATGTATGCCCTCGTGGTCGTGGTCACCCTGGTTTTGAAGTCATTTCACACCTTTATAATCTCCTTTTAAATCCTTGATTATTTCCAACACATCAATGGTTGATTACATGGAAACCTCGCAATCTCTAGCCACTGATAGTTTCTCCTACAGTTGGTTATCCGACCGTAAACCCTCCTTAGATGGCCTCCATGAAGATTCCTTTAGCAACTGTTGTGAAGATTCAAATAGATTTCTCATAGACCACAACTTCAAGTTCGAGTCCATTGCTCCAACTCCTCAACCTTTTGTTCATGCCGATGAGCTTTTCACCAATGGCTTCATCAGACCTGCTTATATTGATCCTTCGAAGGGAGATTCATGCACCACCTTAGATTCCATTGAAACCCCACCCTTTTCTTCGAGAACTGACCGAATCCCCATGGAGGGGAGGATTCATTGCAGCTTTCTTGGAAAATACAGGAGATCAACAAAGAAAATGTTGAGAAATCTTTTTGAGAATCTGAGACCTTTGTGCCATAAGCTAGGGTGCTTTAGAAAAAGTACCGGGGTTGATGATATTGAGAGGAGTATAATGTGGAGAACTAAGAGCCGGAACGGTGCACCACTAGGGTCTACGCAACGGATCACAGCTTGTAGCACTTCAATGGGGGGCGATTCATGTTATCTTGAGAACCCTATTTATGAGGCCGTTCTCCATTGCAAAAGATCAATAGGTATTGTTCCCATACCCTAAACTTAAACGGTTCAAAGATTCTTAAATTTTTTTTTTGCTTTGATTCATTTTTCAGGAAAATAATTCATCCATGCTCTCATATGAGGAAAAGATAGAGAAGTTGAAGAGATGCATGGTGGAAGCTGATGAAGAAGAGTCAATTTGTTCTAGGATATTAAACGACAGAAAATATTATTTCTTAAACTATCGAGATTAAACTAATGGAGTATCATACTTCTCTGTTTTGTTCTTCACTGTGTCATTTGTTGTGGCCCATGCTGTGTGAGACATGGTTATTGATGGGATTATATGGAAGTTTTCTTTGAAACTTCGAAGATATCTGTTGACAGGTTAGATCGTCTGGCAAATTATAGCATTACGTGTTTGAATACCTTGTGATTATAATCAATAATGTTAATCGTGGCCTCCGATGCTGCCATGGTTCTGTTACAATGAAATGAGAAGAATTTGGATAATGATGAACTTTGGTTCGAACAATCATTCTCCTTTTGGTTCGAACGCTTAGCCAACAATCATTGAAGATGAATCTGATGTTAAATGGGCAAGTAAGGAATTAAATATATTCTTGGTGAACCAACAATCATTCTCATTTGGTTCGAACGCTTTCCCACTATAAAAATTCCAACGGCAGTGTACACCCTTTGCCCTTGTGTGAGTGTTGGAAAGGGAGCGTCGCCAACATCCGCCCACAATTATTGATACAGAGAGAGAGAGAGAGGATTTTGGAGTAGTGTTTATTGCAGGAGACAAGACAGGGAAAGGGGACAAGCAATGTTGGGAGAAAATTCCCTAGTCAATGCCCCTATCAACTTGCTTCAATTCTTGTTCTCTTCTGCTCTTTATCTTCATTCACACCTTTAGAACAACCGCCACAAAATGACCACACTCACTATTTATGCATATGTTCTCCGATGAACCTATACAAAATCTGGTTTCCATACTGAGTTGGATGAGTCGTGACAGATAACATGATTCTCCGCCATTAAAATGCAACAACAAAGATTTAGTAGCTCTATGGTTTTTGGGTGAAGAAAAAAGCATCCGGTGATTAAGCTTGTTAGAGATGGGACCAAAAACATTGCACGTTGCAGCTGTCGGGAAAATGTCCTTCTACCATTGAAATTGTTGCAAGGCTTACGAGTCCAATGATGGCTTATGCCATGGTTTGTGTTCGATTCATATGCTAGGATTTTTGGAGATTACTTGCACTAACACAAAGGGTAAACTAACTATTTAGTTACCTATCAATTCATGAGTTTCTGATTTGGTCACGCCTATTTTTTCTCAAAACTTACCTTACGATTATTTTTGGTCACCTCGTTAGGTTTGACGGATATAATACCAGTTTTAGTCCTTAAAACGTACACATTTTATTTAATTGATCTTAATTCAAAATAATTTAATAAATCATTTATATTTAAAAATCCTATCAATTTATCCTCATTTTATTTAAAATAATTATTAAAATAAAGTTCTATCAGAAATAAAGAAAATTTAAAAACAGTAAAATGATTCAAAATGCAATATTATTAAAAGAAGATACTAACATTACATCCTATACTTTGTAAAGAAAATCAAATTGAAATTTAAATTAGGATAATTATATTGATGGTTTGCAATTTGATTTTTAAAGGTCAATTTATAGTTTCTCTCTATCATGTTTTAGTATTTATATTTTAATTCCATATAGATTAATTCGTCTATCTTTATAATTTTATTAGTAAGTCTAAAAAATAATATTAATTTTTTTTAATTAAAATAATATTGTATGCTTTTATAATATATGTTTGAGGATTGTATATTCTTTTACATAACATCAAATTAGACTTACTCATATAAAAAGAGTTAAAACCTAAATTATTGTAACAAAAATTACTTATAAAATAAATTGAAACTCAATTAACTTATTGTACTTCTTCCGAAAAAACTCAAATATTGTATTTAAAAGTCTATATTACTATAAATTATTTGTAAATCATTTTTACTCACTAAATTTAGTGGAATCAAATTGAATTTCTAAAAAATATTATTATATTTAATATTTATAGTTTCTCCCTACCATGTTCAAGTTTAGATTTAATATTTATGTTTATATTTATATCTGATTGATCGATATTGTATATAATAGTTATACAGTAAAATAAATAGTTAGTAAATTTATTCATTTTTATAATATTATTAGTAAATTCAAAATCATTAACATTATACGTAATTTTATAATAAATGTTTAAATATGTTCAATATTCCTTCCTCTTATATAATATACCAATAATTATATCAATTTTTTTATAATAAATATTTGAGTATATTTAATCTCATCTGATATAACATATCATCAATAATATCAATTAAACATTGAATTATTATAACAAAACACAAATATACGAAATAAATTGAAACATGAAGGGAAAACATTAAAAAAACAATTAAAAAATTCACGAAAAAAAAAACGAATGATATAAATATATGAACATGTTTAAAAATATATAATGAACTACATAACATGAAACATAACTAATTAACACAAACATACAAACATGTTGAAACTTAAAAATAAAACTATAAACGCATAAATTATTACATATAAAATTTATAATATGCTAAATATTATTATATTAACAAAAACCTTACATTTATATATAAAAACAACACATCTATGCTAATTTTTGAAAGAAAAAACAATACCATGAATTTCACACATCTTTTTTTCCTGTAATTTATGTGCACAATATTTCATAATTGGAACATTTAAAGTGACATTCTTATCCTCCAATTAACTTTAATCATCAAGACTACCAAAATACTGGGGTTTCTTGCATAATATAGGACTGGCCATAAACGAACAGCACAGAACCAAGGCAATAACGCAGGCTATAAAACGGCACAAAACAAGGCGGCAACCAATGTAAAAAAAGCTTAATGCTATCCAAATTAAACAAAGCTACATAAAAATATTATCACCTTATGGCGCCATTTGTAATCTTGGCATATTGCTAAAAAACTGATTGCCTTTTGATGATACAGATTTTGAACTGAAAACCATTCATAAAAGTTTGTTTGAGGAAGAAATGCCTGCACCTAATGTGAATGGAGCACACCCCCACGCCCTGGAAACCAAGAACCAGCCAAATGTTTGCCTAAACCTTCTGGGTCTTTAAAGGACCCTTCGGAATTTTACTCAGAACCTTGGCATCAAAAACTGCATATTGCTTTCTAATCTCAATCATAGCCTTCTCGGCAAATGGATCAACCTTGTCCTCATACTTCTCATATAGAACAGGCAGAGTATGCAGCAACACGAAAGCTGATAACATATAAATGAGGAATAAAAAATCAGTTTATTACATAGATAAAAGTACTTGGGGCTAAAAAAATTGAGTCAGTGTTATTACATATATAGTACAAGGTCAAGAAGTGGCACCAACTCCCCACGATTGACAGAACCCAGCATGCAGCTATAACCTAAAATACAAATCAAGGAATGGAAATATTAGTAATTCTCTCAATCAAACTTAAGATGAGGCATCCCCATAGGCATGAAAACAAACACACCATAAGAAATTCCTTCCGATTACTTCCAGATGCAATATCTCGCAGCAGCTTCAACACACGGTTCAATTCAGTAGTTAGAGCTGAGACAACTTGGACGAATGGTTCCTCTGGTAAATAAACTTCGGGAATGCGAGGTGGGGTCCTATAAAGAAAAGTGTGGGTTTATATCTTTAAGAAACAATAAAATATCTTAAACTCAATAGCCAAATAAAGAAAAGTGTGGGGTCCTATAAAGAAAAGTGTGGGGTTATATATACTCTTTAAGAAACAATAAAATATCTTAAACTCAATAGCCAAATAAAGCAAAGTTCCTAAGAAGAATGTATAAACTTACTTGTGGATGAAGGTATGAGCGCTGGACCACAAGAGCAATAGTGCAAGACAGAGTATCGAGATGTGGCAGATTAAAGTAAGTAGATGGTATTCAACCAGTTCAAAAAGGACCCAAATTGCAGTTGCTCCACCAAGCACACCAGCTGAAATCTTCTTATTCCTCCACAAGAATACATCAGCAGCTGCAACAAATTATTTACCAGTAAAATAAGAGAGAAAAAGAGAAGATCAGCATTTAACACAAACAAAAGTCATTAATCTTTCAACAATAGTTTCTCTTTCTAAAGCCCTTCAACTTAGATATATTGCCCAGAATGCAAACAAGAAAAATTACAAAAGCAAAAGACCCAAAATGTTAAGGTCTCAACTCAAGGTGCATTAATTAGCTTTCTTCTTATGAAACAGATCCTAAAGCATAAAACAAAATATAGATCCACTAATCTGAAATCAAGCAAAGCGTTGTAAACATAGTAGATTATATCTTTTACTCTCATTTGCATCAAGTACATCAACAACAAAAATTAAAAAGCTTAAAGCCATGTTATCGTTAATGAAATTTGAGAAAGAAAAAAAGGGGGAAATGTAAAATGAGAGAGTTCGTACGTTTTCCACCACCAAGCACATGATGAACTGGTCTCTCTCTTCCAAACAACCGAAAAATCTTAAACTGAACAGTAGAAGTGTAACCCGGTTTCTCGTGATCCGAATCCGAGGATGAATCGTGGCCGTGAATCTTCTCGCTTATCTTCTCCATCACCGACTCCACCGCCGAGTGCTTACTCTCCGATTCCTCCGCCATTGCTAAAAAAATCCGAACCGGAACCCAAAAATGACGGATTCTTGTCTCCGATTCTCACGAGGTTCGAAAGGTTCGAGGCCTGCTAGAGCTGAAGTGGGAAATGTAGGGTTTTATGATGTGAATATATAAACCGTCGATGAGTTTGTCTGAGGTTCGGAGCCAAAACCAAAGGCTCGGATTAGAATTTTGAAATTAGATTCGGGCAGGGGTATGGTCGGTGGGGTCCAGCGTAAATTGGATTATGGATGTTCTTTTCCATTTTTCTGACGAGATGAACGTGGAGTACCGAAGGGTCGGTGCGGGTTTTTGACTTTTTAGAAAGGTTCACCTATATTGGACACGTGGCAACCATTTAATGGGATGATGGTGTGTCATGGACGGCTATCGCATTAGAGTAGTCGCTTAGGGTTACTATAAGAGGGCTCCATGTTAATTATTTAAAAGATTATAACTTCAATAAAAAAATCTGAAAAATTAATCTGGTATTTTTTTCTAAAAAAAGTTTGTGTGATCTTCCTTTTCCTCTTTTATTTTTTTATTTTTTCTTAGAGAAAATCGTTAGTTGTATTAAAAGTAAAAAATATCCAGAATTATAATAAAGAATTACAGTATAAAATATCCAAAATTACAATAAAGATTTACAAATATAATTTTAAATGTAAACTAAATTATAATTAAGACATTTTTATAATTATTGATAAAAAAAATTAGTTACTTAGATCACACAATGACCAAATAAGGAAAATGTTAAAAAATCTAACCAAAATACTCGAACAAAATAAAGATATAACAAATCTGATTGCATCTGCAAACGAACCACAAAAGAGGATGAATCTATTGAAAGACCACCGACAAATAGTAAATCATAGTCAAGTGATGTGAGAAAACTATCCAAGAACGCAAAATGTGTATCCAAATCAATATAAGGGTCCAAAGTAGGGAAGATTAACATAATAACAAATAAGAGTCATCTTGATCAGTCTTAGCGATTGTCAAATATAACTACACAAAAAAAAGATAAACGAAAGCAACGACAAAAAATTAAAATTTGTTAAATAAAAGAGATAAATGTGCCACGAAGACAGATATAAACATGTCATGAAACATAATTATTCCTAAAAAAATTAAAAAAAAATAAAGAAAAAAATGAAACCGACGATCGACAAATAATATCAAAATTAATGACGTTGTCGGCTATATAAAATAAAAAAAATTAATTTGATCTATAAAAAATAATACAAATCGCAAATAAAAAGAATGAGAGGGATGAAAGAGAGAGCAACTAGGGTTTCCTTTTTTATTTTTTTTAAATAGATGATAACATTAATTTTATTATTAGCCATCGATCTTCGGTAGTTATTCGTTTTCTTTTCTTTTTCATCCTATATTATTTTATTTTTTTAATTTTCAAAAATTTAAATATCTTATTTTTATATGTTTTTCTCTATTTTTGTGACACGTGATTTATATATTCTTATAGTATAATATTTTTGGCTTTTAATATGTTTTTTATATATCTTTACGATCGTTTTGGTGTTTACATAAAAACCATCACAATTTTTTATTTTTTGATTAGTTTGTCGGTAGTCACGTATAATCAGAGATCTTCTTTAATAAAAGATTGTATGTCGATATAATTAATAAGTGTACGAAAGTATCACAATTTATACCTCTCTGTCGCCATAATTATTGATAAATCCAAGATAATTTTAATTTTGTTACACATATTTCATTGCACGAGCGAAATGATCATCCATCTCAGTTGGTAGAGCACAATGTTCTTAACCTTGAGGTTGTGGGATTGAGTCACATGGAGAGCATTTCATAATTTGGAGGTCTCCTACGGAAGCTGCTCTCAATCTAGTGTTGTGGGCAGCCTACTATCTTACCTCCCCTTATCCCATTACTTATGGGAACAAGGACAGCTATTTTTTTTTATATTTCATTGCACAAATACGAATTTAACTTTTACTGTTGATTATTATTATATTTATCACTTTTTGTAGAAAAGATATTACAATGTGAGTTAAATTTCACAGAATAAAGGTGAAAGAATAATTCCAACTCATTTAGGTGATTGGAATTACACAGAGTTTGGAAAATAGAAGAAACCTTGCTCGCAAAGGAATTTAAAGATAAGGAGAATATTAGCTCTTTTATTAGAATTAAAATCCTCCTCCAAGAAGATAAAAAGACGAAGAAGACGCTCAAGAATGGGGGGCGGGAGATAGGGAAGGGAAGTTCTTTTTTTCTTCTTCTTTATTTCTTTTCTTTTCATGTTGTTCTTTTCATAACCAGTCATGCACTAAATTTATTTTGGCTTGGGTTATTGTGATTTCGTGAAAACCTTTGGGATTTGTTTAAGTTATTGATTGTTTCTTCTTTAACAGCAAAGCTTGCTCATTCTTGATTCCTTGAATTTTGAGGGAATTGGGAGAGGATATTGAGAGTATTCATTTATTTAATATCGAGAGAATTAGATTTAAGAAACGAACGAAAATAATCTTTATTTAAACGAATGTTGGTGAAGGTTAATCCATCGTAGGGATAAGATTCAGATTTCAACAATTAAAATGAGTGCAAGATTGGTTATTGTTCACCCTCGGTTAACGCGTGAATATATAATCAATGCATGCACTATTGACCAGTTCTTTAAAGGTAGGAATAACAATAATACATTGAAGAACGATCTATCGAGCTTTGAAGGAAGGGTACCCAATTGCCTTGACAATCGCAATACCCCGATCTACTCATTTACTCAATTTTCGTCTATTGTTATTTACTTGTTTTCTTATTTTTAATTGTTATTCGAACTCATACAATCACAATTCTAATTTATTTTTCAGTGCTAGAAGTTAGATCTCAAAGTCTCACCAATTTCTGAGGGGACGATATATTTCTATATTATAACTTGCGACGCGTATACTTACACCAATTGCGAAACACTTAAATCGTGTAACTATAATTATAATTGTGTAGCGAAACAGTCTCTCTGTCAGATACTTTAGTTCGCTTACACTCCTTTATCACTTCTAAATCGTATCGTTGAGCAGAAACAAAGTTTTTTATGTTTTTGGTGACTATTGGCCCGGAGAAGAAGAAGTTAACTGTATTCTAACTTGGCTTTTTAAAACATTTTTGAGTTGTGGAAAGAAATGAAGGAATTAATTTGGCAATATATGTAACAACCCGGAATAAAATTTAGAGAAAAAAAAATTTAATTAAGTAATTTGGCAAAATTTGAGGATTAAATCGAAAGTTTTCAAAATTGTAGGCCATTTTAGAAGTTAAATGAAATTCAGGGACCAAGCCCTGCATTACTCCTTTTAGTGTCGGCAGAAAATTTCATTTAAGCGTATGAATGGTTTTCTGTTTTCAAAACAGAAAACAATTGTGAAATTCCTCCTCCCGCACTCTACTTCAAAGCCGATTTCGACGCCGTCCGAATTCCGATCGTTGTTTTGAAACCACCGTTGTGTTCATCATCGAGCGAGGAACAAACCCTTCAAATTAATTGAAGCGAAACACGGCCAAACGTCGGGAATTTCCAGTCAAAGTAGCGACGGTTTTGTTAGCTCTATCGCCGAGGAAATCTTAAATTCACCGCTGATCGTTGCTCCGTTTACGACACCTCCCGCACCATCGTGTTCCTTGTGCCGTTCCGAGTTCACCGGTGTCAACCTTGTCCGCCGTAGACGGCGGCGCGTGAGGAGGTGGTGCAGTCAAAGATTCGGCCGATTTGAAATCGAGCTCTCCGCCGTTCAAAAATTTGAACCGATCGTTGTAAGTATCTTGAAATCGCTCAAAATAATTTTTAGAAATTTTTCCGGGATTTTTAGGGCCCCGGAGGACGCCTCACGCGCCACACGCGCCGCCGCAGGGCGAGTGGCTGCTGGAAACCGGTTTAACCGGTTTCAACCGGTTCGAACCGGTTTGACCGGTCTGAATCGGTTTGACCGGTCTGACCCGACCCGACCGTTGACCCGACCCGACCCGACCGTTGACCCGACCCGACCGTTGACCGTTGACCGTTGACCGTTGACTATTGACTTTCTTTGACTAAAACTTAAAATGGCTTTGACCGAGCATTAAACGACCGTTAATCTTTTCCGAGTATACCTATCCTGATAGTTTTCGACGTGCCGAATCCGTTTCCGTGGTCCGTTTTGTCAAATTCGAATCCGAAGGTCTCCAAATCTACGGTCAAAGTGGTTGACTTTGACTTTGACCAAGAATTTGAATTTTCGAAAAGTCATACTTTATGTTTTTCGATGCCCTGATTCCGATTTCGTAATCCGTTTGGCCAAATTCAGACTCGAAATACCTCAAATTGATAGTCAAACCCGAAAAATGCGTATATACTTAAGAAGTTTAGCTTTGAACAATTAAATAGGATTTGAGACTGATAAATATTATTGTTTGAAGGTACAAGAGACTCTCCGGATCGTTCGACAGCTCGACCCAGCTCTTATAGATCAGTTAAACCACGTGTGCCAGTATTTACCCGTTCGAAAACTGTAGCAGAGCGTGGTGAAACCAGCAATCAGTAGATTTGTTATTTGAATCTATTGTCGAGGTGTGTTCCCTACTTGTTATTGAACTGTTTTATTGGTTTTAATACGTGGTACACCGAATTCATTGCCTATTGTTTTATGGATGCACCAATTTAATGTGACAATTTATGGAATATGGCTGCTATCTAATTTTTGTTTTGAAATGGTATATGATTACCATGTTTTTGGATTTATGGAGTTTATGTCACGGTGCAATTGAATTTTGGAATTGAAATACGATGGAATAGCTCTGATCAAGCTAACTGGGCCTAATGTGACTCTTGAGGGCCCCAAGATGTTTCATTAGGTCGGCTTTCCTTTGCTGTGTGCTTAGGGTAAGCTATATGGACTTATTGACTTGGGCTTAAGGATACAAGCTTCGGAGCCTATCCTTAAGTCGGCTTTCTTTTTGCTATGTGCATAAATTAAGCTATATGGAAAATAATTTTGGGAACTACTGATGGTGTACCAGAAAAGGGTTTAAACTATGATTTTCAAAAAGTTAAACTCTTTTACGAATTTGTGAGATTACTGGAATATGATTTGTACCTATT